TTAACCTTGCCATTTATTTATTTGCTAATCAACACTTCAACTACGAACCTTAATCAAGACACCGTGTTTACTCATGTCATTGTCCGGTGAAATTATATCGTTAAGAATGTGAAGTTTCGAACACTAATTTTTCGATGGATTAAGTAGTCCTGGTTGTTGCACAGCTTTCACTAATGAAGTTTGCAATTATTATCACCTCGACGAAGGCCATCCTCATCTAGCCTCCAGTGGGGCTGAGGAATGAATCTCTTCTCAAACATTTTTTTATGAAATAAGGATGCATACCAGCTCTTACCCATTTATAAGTAGTACATATTTGCAGAGATTATTCATATGAATTTACGACTCATAAATCACACCCATTATCACCCCTATCTATTATTTTCAATTGGATCTCAGGTATATATCAGAGTTTACCAGAAGTATCCTTCATTTAGAAGGAAATATAGAAAATTTCCGATAACATTTGAGACCAACGTCAAATTAAGTTATTTATTATTATTATATGCATGGACAATTTGGATTCCTTATGGTTTGATTCTATTTAGTTGGGATTCGAATGTTAACTTATTTTATTTTATATTCCGGCAAGTGGCCCCACCCTCTGCTTATCCACTTTATTCTAGCTCGCTCAGTCATGAAGGAGCTACTAAGAGCCCCGTACTAATGCGACTTTTTGCATCTTAATTAAGATGTTTAGCCCTCAATATTAAAATGATAAAAGTCCATTCCTTATTCTATGTCAACAGAAGTTTATATAAAAGCAACTCTAATACGATATAGCAAGGTTTGATAAAAAGGTGGTTCAAACAAAAGTTAGTATTTTGTTTATGGTTTAACCCAATGCGATTTCCTATATTAATAGCGCAAAATTAATGTAAACTATGGTTTAGCCTCTATACAGCCCCAGTCTTCACTCGTCATAATGCTTTGATTTTTAAGAGGAGCAAAAAAACGAAAATGAGCCTTAAACGAATTACTTTCTTAAATTTCACCACTGAAAAGACGAGTACAAATCAAATTTATTTGAAATATGTTGTGAATCAAGTGAGATTATGTTTCGCTGAAACGTTAAGATTCTAGATTTCTATTAACAAAAATAGGCATATAAATACAATGCTTTGATTACATACTCACGGACTTGTCGAGGGTTGAATTACGAGCAGGAGAGTGGCATTCTCTATTGCTAAATAAATAACAGACAGAAGTTACTCATGCCTGAGAGCAGCACTTGGCTGGCTTCTTCCGCTCCGACTTATAATAGTAACTTGCGTCGTATTAGACAACTGCAAATTTACGAATATTCGCCTAGGGAAATATGAAGATTAAGCTTACAACCATTCCAAGGATTGCGAATACACTAGCAACATTGACGAATGGCTGTCGAATGTCTAGCCTCAAATCAAGTGAGTATTTGCTAATTAAATACACCAAGAAAAGACAAGTAGTCCAGTGGATCTGGTAAAATTTTCAATGAAACACTGGTTGAAAATTTGTAGAAATTACGAAACACGTTAAAACTCTTTTATGCAGAAGGCGGATGCCCTAGATGCTAGCCTTGGGAATTTTTGAAAGGTTTGGTTTGTTTATTCTGACTCATGACTCAGTCAAAAAAATAGTGAATGGTAAAGCGTCGAATGAGCCGTTGCCTTTTCCTTCGAGAAATTCCCTTATTAACGCCTATGTCAACTTAATTAAGAAGGGATGGCTGAAGTTCTTATTCGAGAGGTAATGATTGGTTCGAAAAAAAATATTTATTGGTGCCCATCTTGTATTTGTTTATATGTGTTCCATTTTATTAAACGAGGGGAAGCATAATAATGAATGTCAGGTAAGTGCGTGATTGTACAAATGTATCTGATTCCGTAAATAAGGCCATGCTACTAGCTACAGTCCCTTAGACTTTGACCCGAAGTCTTTTGAAATAATCGGTTCGGTAAGAAGCTCATATAATTGACCCTCAGATGCCATTTCGATTCTTTAAGCAAAGAAAAATACCTAACCACTTAGAATAAGAGTTACGTAGTCTACTTATCCGATTCGTCTAAAACACATCTTGTCAGGCAAGTGCTTCCGAAGTAGATCTATTGCAGTTCGTTTTAGACTGCTCGGTCTTTATTTATTTTAATCGAAAGCATGACGATCAAGATGATGTGGCCTTTTTTATAGTCGGGGCATTAACTTTAATTCAGAAGTCAAATGAAAACCAATCCAATATTCTCCAACTCTAAAGAAAAAAGAGAATCGTTTTAACGCTCAATTGGCTGAACCAAAAAGTAGTCCAACTAAATAGCATTTTTATTGGGAAAAGTATAAAAATAAAATCAAGAGCAACTGAATTCTGCAAAATTGTATGTAACCTATGTTCTTTGTTTAAACAAGCAATGTGAGTGTTTGAGATAGCGACATTTAAAAGGTGAAAATAAGTCAGAAACGCATGTGAGTAAGAAGTTTTTACAACAATTATGTAAACAATTTAACTTATATTCGCACGATTACAGAAGAAATTGGAAAATATTGAATTAACGAACAGGATGTTGGCTCGTGTGCAAGAAATTGTTACAGTAGGACAAAATATGAAATATCCGATAAAGTTCATATGATTGGCCGCTTTCTACCTACTAGTTAAAGAGCCTCAGGTAGCAGGTCTCGGGCAAGGGTGAAAAGTATTTTTCATTTGTAAGTAAAGTTTCGAAAATGGTAAGAAATTATTTAAGCTAAGTTGTCTCTTCGATTGTTACTCAACAGAGACAGGCACATTTTGTAAGGCAAGAAACTAGACCATTTCATTTAATTTGCCCTCATTCGAGAGCACCGTCCATTTTAAGAGCAAGAGCAGCGTCCTGTCTAAAAGTTCAAAGATCTCACATGTGGAGACTAGAATGAATATTGAACTACCGTTTTATAGGTTTTTTTCGAACGATCTTTGCTACTAAAGCAACCAGGATTAATTTATTTTTATCAATTTTATATTTAATTCCGCTCCCTAAATCCTGGATAGCAAAGTAAAATCGTATTACCAGACTAAAAAATAAAATAAAAATTGAAATGATTTGATAAAATATGAAAAATATAAGTTGAAGACAAAATGGTTTCGTAACTGGGTACGCAACATACGGACAAGGGATAAAATAAACAGGCCAAATAGCTAGTGAGGCATTTAGAATTAGCCAAGGTTTGCTGACTTGGACGCTACTATCAATACTGTGATGAACGTGTGCCCAGATAAAAGGCACTCAAGATTATATTATTCATACCATGTAATCCATCGAGATTCGAGCTCCAGCCAATTCAAGATAACATATATTACGGTATATTGTAAGAGAAGGCACCGTAAAGATTTCAGACGATCAAGCGCATGGCCTTGATTCAGTCATACGCGTTTCTCCAGCAAGTTCAGCTGAATGAAAGAAGGATGAGAATGGCGCCAGAAGAATGGTCTCACAAATGATGATGAGGAAGTGTCTACATATAGTCTTACATGCAAAATAATTTAGGAAAATCCAGAGTGAGGGATAATTAGAGCATATGTAGAAGAGTATCATGTATCTGCTTCATATTCCGCTTGGTTGGTTCTCCTAGGCCACAAACAATTCACTTTTTTGAAGCAGGGAACTGAGCCGCTCTGTAGAATCTTGAAAAAATAGCATGCCCTAAGTATCTCGCTGGTTTGTTTTTCAGTTTAAAATCACCATTTGTCATAGGTTGCACCCAGTATGTATTCGTAGAGTAGCTTTTTCATAAAAATAAGTCTCAAACTGACCTTTAAGCATTATAATTTACCCCAATCGACATCACCAGCTTAACGTAAGTAAACCAACATTGGACAAATTTAGGGCTCAATTGCGAAGCAATTGTGATAATGGCAGACAGGGAAGTAGAGGCTAAAGGCACTATCTGTGCCCACTTCCTGCTTGGATTAGCGTTTCCAGCTGGCGTACTATCCGTTGGTCAGGCTGAGATGTTCCTATGACGCCACCGTTGTCTAATCCCCCTACATTTACGCCGCCACCAGATAACCCTCCAGCCCCTGGACTAGAAGTGCCAACTTGGGCCTGATTTTGACCAGCCACGAGGCCCACTCCACCACCAAATTGGGCAAACAATTCGTCACCCAAGTAACGATGTAGAGCAATGGCCAGGCAAGCGATCGCCTCGCGAAGCTCTCCGGCCGCTGGGCCAGTCTGGAAGAGCAGCAAGCTACGAGTAAGCTGACCCAGTGCAGAAACGATCTGGTTGACTAGTGGTGAGGCCTCGAAATCACTTCTTCCAGTGATTTCAGAGCTAGAGGAAAGATTGCACGTTTGAAGCAGTCGACCTGAGCCGGCACTTTTCTCGGCTGACGATAGTGGAGAAGGTGTCTCTTTCAGCAAGCATTCGGCCAAGAGGGCTAATTGGTTGACAAATATAGGACGGGCTCGTGGATTCGTCGACTGGATAGTCTGAAGCAATGGTGGGACCAGAAGCTCTGGGGCTAAGAAATACAAAGTTCATGAAGAATAATTGCGATGTTAAAGTTTACTTGCTTTCATCTAAAGTTAGTCTCAAAAAGTATGATAAAATACAAGATCAAAAGGGAGTAGTAGATTTATGCAAGACAGTATAGTTAATAAACTTGATGTAGAGGGAAAGATATAAGGAGAAATTTTGAAAACAGATATATTATATTTACTAGCCCTTAATCTCGCAAATTTAATAGATATTAGTATATTTCTCGACATTCTCTATTTCTGAAACCAAATGCTTGCTTATTTAAAGTTTCTATATCAATTATTTGATATACTCTAAGTCACTTAGGGTGGTGTAAGGACTAAAAAGTGAAGGCTTTCGTATCCTGAATAGAATGTAGAATCGCTTTTTTAT